TCCATCCTTAGTTAGTCATAGAAAAATGCTTGGTGTAATTTTTATGCACAACTTGATCAAGGGGGATATAGACAGCCCTGACTTGCTGAGCCGCATACACTTTACGATTCCCATTAGACCCACTAGAAACTTTATTCCTTTGTTCCTTCCACTATGTAGATCGAATTATGCCTCACACGAACCCTTTAGGGTTTTATGCTCGGATTATAATTCCCTCTACCACATTATATCCTCAACTAACTCTCTTCCTTTTCTTAAATCTCTTATACTAGCCTACCTCTCCCGTAGTTAGTTTCATTCATAATTTTGCTTGCTTAGCTATACTTGCTCTAGTTTTGTTGTGTTTAGTTCTAATTTTCCTCGAATATTAGCCTAACATCTATCTTTCCTGCATGCTCGCGACCGGTTCGGTTAATCGCGCCGCGCGTCATGCGGCAGCGCCCCTCGGTCGGTTTGGCGGGGGGAGGGTTTTGCTGGGTTCCGCGCGTAACAGGCTTTGGCTTGGTGTCGCATGGTCCACTTGATGGTGATGTCATTGCGTCAACGTCCAGACATTAAGAAGCGTCTTACACGTCCCTTCTCGTTCGTTTGGCTCTTGCGCAGATTCATTTTCGAGCAGTTAATTTTGATGTTTTAGCAGCTCTTGTTGAAGTGTTTTTATACCTGGTACTCGAAGAGTACATAGTGTATATTGTAACGCACAGAAGGAAACGTTTCCGACCACATAAATTATATATATTCTTGATAAGCATCAATAGCCGAGTCTATTTCTGTCTTTCTGTCCGTCTGTCGGTCTGTCCGTCCTGATGATCGCCTAGTACTCAGATACCATACAAGCTAGAGCAACCAAGTTTTGCATCCAAACTTCTGTGATATCACACTGTTACAAGTGTAAGAGAGAGAATAGCCATATCATCAGATCACCGAATAAGGATAAGATTGGATCATTTGCAGAGCTGATAATAGCCAGAATATTACCAGTGGTGGAAATCGCCAAGGAAGCCAAGAAGATCTCCTCAGATCTCGATGTAGAACCCTAGCATGGCAGCAACGATGGGCCAACTCAGCGAAGGGCAGATGGACCTACATTCTGATACCACAATTAAGCATGGGGGTCAACCGGAAGCATGGGATAGTCAACTTTTGAATAACCCAGCTTCTAAGTGGACACGACTGCTTTACGAGATATCTCCATCGCTTCGGGCTATTCACACTCTGCTTCTGCTGTGTGCGGACACTGCGTCTGCCGCGAGTCTGCAGTGTGTGGGTCTAGGGAAGGGGAGCGAGCTAAAAGAGCGTGTTGGCGTGAGAAGTGTTGTAGATGTATGTAGATGAAGAAAACATTTAAAATTTGACAAACACCGCTAAGGTGCAGATGTGTGCCGGGTATAAAAGTTGTGAGGCATAAGAAGCGTCTCACACGTCCCTTCTCGTTAGTTTTCTTTTATCTTCAAATTTTAAGGTTTAAGAGGTTCGCCCTTTTTCGAGGGCGGAGGGGGGCGGGGCTAATATTTTAAATACACTGGTTTCAGTGTGAGCATACAGCAGTCTGGAGGCGAAATTCGGTGACTCTAGCCCTTATAGTCTCTGAGAACAGTCAGTCTGAGTCTTACGGGCGAGCGTAAGAAGCGTCTCACACGTCCCTTCTCGTTTTTAATAAATACGACGTAAATGGGTTCCAGATCGTGGAGTCGGGAGGTATGCGGGGTCCAAATGACAACATATTTCCCGAAATTATATTTTAGTCTTACGAACATTCGTGCCAATTTATTGAGGTCTAGCTTTATTTTTTTGACTATTGCCAAAAAATCGGTCTTTTTACCCATATTCCACTGCCCAAAAAGTCATGCACATTATTTGGCAAATGTATCATCCCGCATCAACGTTATCTGTCATGTGAAACATACACCACTTAGTGGAGACGACAACCGTCAGACAAGCATTCCAGTCGCTTCACAAAGACCCACCATGCCATAATGCACTCGTAATGCGTCTTGTACCCCCTCCCTCAGAGAAGTGAAAGGGAGGAAGGGGGTCAAGATGGGAGCGGAGGATTACGGGAGCGAGGTCTTAAAAAGCGCGTTAATTAGCCGTACGTGAGGAGTGCGTTTGTCAAGCGGTTAAATGGTCAACGACTGCTACACTCTGCGCTCTGCGCGGTTCAGACATTGCTATCAAAAAACTCAAATCAGTTACAGCAAAAGCTCACCTGCAACAATGACAAGTGTTGATGACGATGAACGAGGTATGGGGTCCGATATAATCGTAAGCCCCTACGTGTCGAGTGACGAGACAGAGACCCTACTGTGTGTTTGTGTGGAAAGCTGACTTGACCCGTGTCCACCATTCGTTAAACTTGGCTATAAAACAAAAAAATTGGAGACAAAAAAAAACGAGGAGAGACGTGTGTAGCGCTTCTTCTTAAACCCCTGTACTCAGTAGTATATCTGTCTCTTTATGAAATTTTACAGTTTTCTAGCAGGTGTAGAATGAGAGAATTTGCAAAAAAAAATCAAAGCTGGTGGACGGGGTGCGGGTAGCCCATGCAAATCAATTTCTTCATTCTGGCTATAGTAATGATCCCATCTAATCTGATAGACATGTTCATTCCATACGTTATGGCATTTTTTGTTTTATCTTGTCTTCAAAATTGAGGATACAGCAGATTTCTTCCTTCGTAGGGTCGGAAGGAGCGGGGCTCTAGCGGTTATAGTCTTTGAGAACTAGCCGACAAACATGACGGAGAGACCAACGGACTGACAGACATATCTATATCGACACGGATTCATGCTGATCAAGAATATATATACTTTGTGGGAACGGAAACGCTTCCTTCTGGGTGTTAAATTTTTTCCCCACAAATACAATATACCCTATATACTCTTCGAGTACCGGGTATTAAAAAACTCTGGAAACACTTGTATCTCAACAAGTGTTGGGGCAGGGCAGGGGGCATCGAAGGAGCTTGTATATTCGATTTAAACGTAATGATTAAACCACAGGCAGTGCAAGTGCAATCAATTCTGGAAAAGTTCCAGCACTGACCCCAAGCAATCCATTATCCTTGACCTTTATTTACACGATTTTCTTCTCTACTGTTTACTCTTTACATATTTCCCAGTTCTCCTTAGTTACGAAGACGAGTACAGATTAAAAGCAATGGCTCTAGTGATGAGATTGTTTAATCAGGATAACAAAAAGAAAAAAAAACCGAAAAAATTAAGGGGATTGGGATTGAAAAGAATGTGTAAGATTAATAAGTGTTAAAGAACATACCGTTCGTCTGTAAAACTGGATAGTGAGTAACTGCAGCATTAACTAGGATTTGCTGGGATACTTGTAGAACACTAGCAAATATATACAATTATTTAGGTACGAATATTAAAAAGTGTAAAATATTTTATGATGCAGTTCGTCCAATCCGATGTGTCCAAAACAGTTCATTACTAATTGAAGCCACTCCTAAAATTGTGCCATCAATAAACACAAACCCAAGTTGGCACCCGAATGGAATAATACTACATTTAAATTTTTTCAAATTAATTTGCTTTAGTTTAACTTGTTATGTTATGTTTTGTTTTGTTTTTTTTCAACGCAAGAGCACGTACACTTAAGAGCATTACTGTAATGGTTTGGTTTTTTGTTTTTGACCTTCACTTAATTTATGCTCTTAAATTCCACCAAATATTTACAAAAATATCATTCGTGTGTGTTTATGTGTGTGTGAGGGGACAGTGTTTATCAGTGGAGTGTTTCCATTTGGTTAGTTTCTCAAGCCGAAAAAAACATTTAGTAATATGACAAATATTTGCAGCATTTGATAAATATAATTTTGTTTTCGTTGATAGCAAGCTGCAATTTACGCAAGTGCAAAAGACTTTATCCTTGTATATGGAAGGAACAATGGAGGATATTATCTCACAGTTATGCGTGATGTGTTTTTGCTCATGCGCCGTGTGTTTGTTTGATTGCTTAAGCTTTGTATATATGTTTGTATGTATGTATGTAGGTATGTACATATGTACATATGTAGCATAACAATATTCGTTTCACTGGCAACATAAGTTTATAACATAACACTTGCAACACTTTTTTGCGTGCTGTAACAAATTAACAACAATAACTACCAGAAACACACTAACTGCTAAAACGCTGAACAAAAATTTGTGTCATAATTATTATTTTTATACCCGGTACCCGAAGAGTAAATAGGGTATATTGTATTTGTGCACAAAAATGGATGTATTCAACACACAGAAGAATACGTTCCGACCCCATAAAGTATTTATATTCTTGATCAGCATCAATAGCCGAGTCGTTGTAGCCATGTCAGTCTGTCCGTCCGTCCGTCTATCCATCTGTCCGTCGGTCCGTCTATCCGTCTGTCCGTCCGTCGTGTTGGGCGCCTGGATCTCAGAGACTCTAAAAGGTAGAGAAACCGAATTTTGCCTCTAGACTTCTGTGATATCACACTGACACAAATGTATCTCAAGAATTAGCCCCGCCCCCTTCCGCCCTTCCGTCTATCTGTCTGTCCGTCCGTCGTGTTGGGCGCCTGGATCTCAGAGACTCAAAAAGGTAGAGAAACCGAATTTTGCCTCTAGCCTTTTGTGATATCACACTGACACAAATGTATCTCAAGAATTAGCCCCGCCCCCTTCCGCCCACACAAAGGGCGAAAATCTCCCACAGCCACAATATTGAAGATAAGAAGAGGAATGTAAAAACGCTATTTCGTAGAGAATGACCATATCTATCATAACCGAATTGGGATCAGATTGGATCATTATTATGGCCAGAATGAAGAAATTAATTTGCAGTGGCTAAACCCACCCCGTCCAGCAGCTTGTTTTTATTTTTTGCACATTCTCTCATTCCACAGGTGGGCGAGCAAACAGAGCGTGTTTTCGTGAGAGTTTATGTAGATGTAGATGCAATATGACAGATGCAGAAAAAATGTAACATTTAAAAAAAAACCGCTAAGGTACAGAGGTGGTACTTAGTACCGGGTATAAAAGTTGTGACGCGTAAAAAGCTCTCTCTCTCTCTCTCTCTCTCACACAACCCTTCTCGATTTTTTTGGAGAGTACGATATTTGCGATTTCGATTAAAGTGGAGTGTAAAATACTATTTAAGATATCGAAATGGATCTGACCGCTTTTGTTGGTAGATTTACTTGGTTTAGCTAATTAGTTCCTGCCAATTGTGGATAAGACACACATGCAGCCAATTTGCCTACGGTAACTTTGACTAGAACTCTGCTAGTTAGATGGGTAGAGTGGGGTAAAGGGTGCATAGAAAAACTATTTACAGATTGTGTGTGTTTGTGCAGCTGCTGCTAATTAATTTCAACTCTTGAGAAGTCTAGTCATCTGTGTGCGGATGTGGAGGATGATACTGCTGCTGTTGATATTGATGGTGATGCTGATGCTGCATCGATGTGCCTGCCAGGCTCGATGTGGATGTCGGTGCTGTCGTTGTGGATACGTTTGCTGTTAAAGGCTTGATCGCAGGTTGGAGATCCTCAATTTGAATCAGTTGTTCGATAGGTATAAGAGATAGTTCCCCTCCCACTGCCTGGTGAATTGGCAGCTTAGCCAGAGCCTAAATTGTTAGTTCGATTAGTTGGTTAGTTAGCTTATTGTTTCAGTCTCAGTTCCCTACCTTGGCATGCTCTACAGCTATGGTGGCTGCCTTTTCAGCCTCCCGCTGTCTTCGTTCCTTCAGTTTTAGCGAGAATATTGCCACAGATCTCGCACTTTTCACCAGTTTTTGCTTGAGGCGCGATTTCTTGGCCGCTAGTTCAGCGGCTATAAAACGAAACAAAGACATTAGAAGACTAAAAATAAAAGATCGAATTCAGTTGAGCATTTGTCATACCCTTCGCTTCGTCATCTAAAGCGCCCGCTGATGTGGAGGCAGCGGCAGACTCTTCCTTTTCCTTCTCCTTGTCTCTTTCCTTCTCCTTTTCCCGTTCTTTCTCCCTTTGCTTCTCCTTTTCTTTCTCCTCTTTCCTCTCCTTTTCCTTCTCCTCCTTCCGTTCCCTTCCTCGCTCTTTCTCCTCCTTCTTTTCTCTCTCCTTCTCCTCCTTTTCCAGTTTCTTTTGCTGCTTATGGGATGAACTGGATGACGAATTTGATAGGGCACCCACACTGGGCCTTGACTGGGAATTACTGATTCTACCGGAGGCTCCGTTAGGTCCTAGCCCACTGGTACTGAAAACGCTCCCACCGCCACCCGACGATGAGGAGGATGATGCCACTATATGATGCTGTTGCTGCGAGGCAGGTGGTGTGGCCAACAAGCTTCCCGGAGTACCCGTTTTCAGGGCCACGTTGCTCCACGACGGTGCAGGCTTTAAAATATCGGAGGTATTGTCACTGTTTGCGAGTTCCTTAAGTTGAAAAATTAAAGATGGAAGTTTATATAATCGAGCTGTGGATGTACATATGTTCATATGAATATCTCAATAACTACACACATCAAAAGCTCTTTGTAATACAGTAATAAGCAGTATACAGTAAACAGTATAAAAATAAGATTGGTTGTATGCTGTAAGAAGTTCATGCCATTTGTTAGTGGATGAAATGGGTGAAAGGTCAGTGTGTATTTTGAGTGTGATTAAGCTTCTTTTACACAACATCAAAAACACACATATCTAATAACAAACACATTCTGTTTGGGTGTATAATATATGGTTATACATATTGTATTTGTATCTCTGCACTACCTTGGCAATACAATCTATGCTTCTATGAAGAATCGCATTGTCGTTGACTTTTAAACGTGACATCCATTCGGGTGCATGGAGTTTTATGTGTAGCTTGTCCTTTAAACGGCAATAGTCAAGTGGGGTGGTTAGGTTAGAGTGAGTATTTGTTTTCGTATTACGACTTTGGGTTAGTAGCTGAAAAATTTGATTTCTTCTAATGAAGAACACGACACGACTTTATAGCTTCGAACAAAACTAACTTTTTCTGAAAGATTTAGCTTAAAAGTATCATCGGCAGAACTTTTTTTAAAAGAATTAAAAACAAAATTTTTTAAGGGGGATTGCATTTTTTCACATAATTAAAGAATTTTACATCTAGTTGTAATGAACTTCTATAGAGCTCATGAATGCTATAAGGTATACCTAACCACTTTGTAGTTTTTGCCAACCGTCTAAAAATTATAAGGCTTTCAAATGTAAAAATAATGATTTTTGTGCGGTGTTTTTTACAAAATTAATGACTTTAGAAAAACTTAGGAAAAGCCGAGAAGCCCTCCAACAGTTGCTTTTGTTAGGATTTTTTCATGTTTGTTGGGATGGTTGACCAATTTTAGGTGCCTCTTCATAGATTTTGAAGACCTTAAGCAACGTCGAATTAATGCACCTATACCCAATCAAGAACACTTTTCCTACTCTGTTCTATGTTCTATGTTCGGTTTTCAAATTCCCTGCTAAGCTTATTACTCTATAATATAAGCAAGATGAGTTAGAAAGTATAGAACAGCCCTTGTAATATTAATCATACGTATCGAGAATGTTTAAGTGATTGCAGCTATCGACCGGGGCTTTTTGTTTAGTAATTGCAAGATTCTACAAATACAGATATAAAATTGAGCAGCTACAGGCCGACACAGTCTTAGATAGTCTAAGGATACTCATTGTGAATGGGTAGAAGAGAGACTGTAGAGTTTTCCCCAAGATCTTACACTCAACGTCAAATGTGTTGCACTCTCTGCCGATATTTTGCGCGTCTTGAAGGGCGGTATCTCCGAGATCCTCTGTTGATGTTCCTGCTGCAGTTGCTGTTGCGGCTGATATTGCGCTGATAGTTGCCGCATCGTAGCACGCTGGGGACTGCTACTGTTGCTGCTGCCAGTGTGATCGGCAGAGTCGCTTGATTTCTTACGGAACGGCGGTATTTCCGGCAAATGTATCGGTTGCATCCGGGCAGCAAATGCGGCTGAGTTTAGGGCTAGCGTGCTGGCGGATGCTCTGTGTGCCATGAAAAAAGCGAATATACAAAACGTGGAAAATGTATTAAAGTGTAAGAAAAATGAGAGTACAAAGAGAGTAAATAAATTGTAAGCTTGACATTATTAATAGGGTAATAGAAATTGACTGGTATATAGGGTTAGCTTAGCCCATTTCGAAAGCTTTGCATTACAATCAATTTTGAAGGCTGTAACACACAGATAAAGATAAGCCAATTTGTTACAGATTTTAGTTGATTTACCATTGATTCATTGATTTTTAATCAAACTAAAACCTCTAACAAATGCCTGAATTTACAGCATTAATTCATCTAGTTTTGCTCGATCCAACATTTACCCGATTTGTTGTTGTTGTTTGGTCATAACGCTTAGATTTCGCACAGAATATCCAAGAAATGGTGGTATTTCCGGTATAAAGTGCAGAGATTTTCGAACACAAGCTCTAAAGAATCGTTTTATCAGAAATAATGCAAAATAAATTGAAGAATGAGTAATAAAGAAATGCATAAAGAAAATCAAATTTACAGTAAAAGATTTAAGGAAAAAATTCAAAGTGTTTTTCTGTTATTAGTATTATGATGCAGCGACGGCACTCACCCTCCATTGCCATCATAATGCAGACTGGAAAGGGAGGCGCCTCCATGCGGTGGTGTTGACTCGTGCAGCGGTCTAATAAGAATTGTGCTGGTCTATAAAATGGTATACCAAATATAATATGTATTTCTAAAGTTACAACATTTAAAGACCTCGCACCTGAGAGGGTGGGGAATCGGGCGACGAATCACGATTCTCATAAATATTCACATCCGCCTCGATGTTGCGCCCATAGCCGGAGGTAGCAAACTCGTGCCCATAGAGCAGCATATCCTCTGCCACCTGGCTCTCCATACACTGATCGTGTGTGGTGTTGGCGCCGCTCTCCGGTTGCAACATTCCACGGGAGCCCTCCTGTTCCGGCTGCGTGGAGGTCGTCGATTGTGGTGTCGGCGGGGTGGGACGTGGCGAGGTGCCCTTGCATTGCATTTCCCGTCGACAATGCTCAGCTCGAGCTATTTCCGCTGCCAGCCAAGAGGGCAACTCTGGCAGCAGCCAGGTGAGTGCCTGCCGCAGCCCCAACATAATGTGCTATGTATATAATTTAGACGTGAAAGCATCAGAATTGCACGGTCAGAATCGTTTAACTCACTTCGAGTGTGACAATCAATATAATTGTCTGGGCTGTGGTTAGTCCTGGCCAGAGCCTCGACACCTGACCAGAGAGTCCAATCAGGGCACAGTTCACAATCACAGCTGCCAGCGAGAGAATACTCAAAGCATTCTGCCAGGTGCCAATATTTGCCACTCGCTGTCCAAACGGTCGCTGGTGCACATGTGCCAGCTTGAACGCATCGGAACGTATCTCCATGAGGTTGTTGATCAACGCACACATACCAGCCAGTGGAAAGGCAGCCGAAAAGAGCACCACATATCCCATTTGCACCAGCATCTCCAGGTGATCGGAAAAGGTGCCATTGTACTGACATTATAAATAGGGAAATTATTAGAAATCTGAAAGAGTACCACAACCGACGCACCTTATACAACGAACTCTCAATTTCAGCCTGGCCAATATTTCTTTTACTGGCTTCTTGACTTTGCTGATGGGTTTTTGTGGGCGTGCCAGAGGCCTCGGCCTTAAGCTCTGCCTCGGCTGTGGCCAATTCCTCTGCCAAACTACGTGTCAGATTCTGCGTGGGACTCAGGGCACCCCACATGTTGAAACTCAATTTGGCCAGTTTATATTGCTCCACAAAATAGGGAAGGGCCGATTCACGTAGATTTCCAATGATTTGTCTCGAGATGAGCAGGCCAGCCAGTTGCTGAAGGAAACGATACAGGAAATTTAACGAGTTCAACATCCGTTTAAAGGATTTTACTTACCTCTTTGAGCTTCTCTTCATCGCGCAAATAGAAGGCGATATAGAAGAGCGATAGAAAGGAGTTGACAAACTGGAAGAGCGCAACTTTGGCTATCAAATGATTTTCATATTTCGATTGCAGGCGATAGTTTTCTGTGCATAAAAAGAATTATATTATTATAGGCTATAGAACTATGTACAAAATATGGATAGTTCACCTTTATCATTGAGCCACACAGCCAGCTTAAAGTAAGCCTCATCCATGAGGGTGATGGCTCCTGCTAGGAGTACTTTTGGTATGACACTCAGACAGCATAGGACACTATCCTCAGGCAGCTTGGAGTCCCACCAGTCCTTCAATAATTTGAGTAAGAAAAGTAAAACCTTTATCCCTCGAACACAAATATCAATCATTACTCTCTTGCCACCTACTTTCCACCCAACGATTTCTGTTTTGCCAAGCCCACTTTTCTCTTAATTAAACTGCAATTATTATTCATGTCCGCACTTCCTTTTCGACTGCTAATGGAATGCAGCATATTTAATGCTTACGCAGCTAATTTGATTATATTACAGGCTTTTCCGAAGGTATTGTGGTTTACCTTTGGCACCACCTTCAAAGCTTCAGTCCACCTGGCTGAGTGGAGTGTTGCAACGGTGGACAGGCTCTTGAACACTTCCACTGCTACTCCTGATGAGTGAGGAGCTCTAAACATGGCGATAGTTTATAAAATTGAGTTCTCCTTGGCGCCATTTTAATGGCGAAGTATTATTATTTAGAGTGCTTTTCAAAGCAGCATACTTGAACATTTCCTTTTTTCTTTCACCAAAAGAGGAAGTCTTGGCAGTGCATCCAATAAATGTCTCAATTTAAATAGAATAGACTACATTTTAATAAAATGCACGTACTCTTAAATGTTGATAAAATGCCCCTATTCCTCTTAGCATTTCTATACAAATATTATTCAAATTATCTAAAATAAAAAGTATTTGTTAAAGTTGCTTCTTTAGCAAGTTTAAAGTAGCCAACAACTTTATTGATCTTAGGAGACTATCTTAGAAATTGTAGACTTTAGAAAACTGAAGTTTTCCATAGCATATGAAATGTAATCGTTTTTGTTCTAGTCAGTGAAAAGATGTGTCAATATTTAAAGAGTTCCAATGGCTAAAATATAGTTTCAATGGCTCCCTACCATATATTAAATCCAACTATCCTTATGTCCCCCAAAAAATTGGTAACAATCAACGGTCAGAGCTTATGACTGCTGATCAGGTCAGAACGTAAAAAGTTCCCGTGTACATTTGTAAAATGGCATTTTGCTTTAATCTTATCAAAACACGATATGTCCCTATGCACAGGCAAACAAATCTGACAAATTAAAGTTAATTGAAGGTTACAAATAGTTGAGGGTTACAGCAGCAGCACCAATTGTTCCTCCTCTTTCTTAACAAATTTGAGTATTATATTTCTGCCTAAAACTGACCTGGAAACTGGGACTGTTTGGGACATTAATTAAGCGTAACATTTTTATACCCGGTACTCAAAGAGTAAATAGGGTATATTGTATTTGTGCGAATAACGTGTATGTAACGCACAGAAGGAAGCGTTTCCGACCCCATAAAGTATATATATTCTTGATCAGCATCAATAGCCGAGTCGATAGAGCCATGTCTGTCTGTCCGTCTTGTTTGTCGGCTCGTTCTCAGAGACTATAAAAGCTAGAGCCACCAAATTTGGCTCCGGACTGCTGTATGCTCATACTGAAACCAGTGTATTTCAAAAATGAGCCACGCCCCCTTCCACCCCCGCAAAAGGGCGAAAACCTCCAAAACCTCTTTCCACAATTTTGAAGATAAAAGAAAAAAACGCCATTCCGTAGGGAATGGCCATATCTATCAGATCACCAAATTGGGATCCGATCGGATCATTATTATAGCCACAATGGAGAAATTAATTTCCAGTGGCTAAACCCACCCTGTCCCGCAGTATTTGTTGCTCTTTGTACATTCTCTCATTCACACTCTGCTTCTGCTTCACTCGGCTCCTGCCTCTGCCCTCCCCCTGGCGATGACTCTACCGAATTTTAACCAACACTCGGTTTTCAACGCTAGATGGCGCCACTTTCGAAAAATTTGCTGTAAAACCTATCGGTCATTATTGCACATCAAAGTTGCGTACAAGAAATTTTCATAGATGGCGCTACTTTCGAAAAATTTGCTGTGATACCTATCGGTCCAAGAATGTACCAATTTTATTGCTGTTTTAAATATCTCATAATTGGAAAATATTAACTGATCCAATTTGTTTGATATATTTTATTTAGGAGGCTTTTTACTACGTGTTCTGTAATGTGAACGATATCTAGTGGTTGGCGATGTCTTCTACATCTAGATGTAGTCCTGAGTGCCGGGTTTAAAAGTTGTGACGCGTAAAAAGCGTCTCACACGTCCCTTCTCGTTTAATTTCATCCACTGTTTCTTCTATCAAGCTCTACATTCCCCACTAGATAAATCTCATACTCTATACAATCTCTATACTTTCTTTGGTTGCCCCAAGGCGGTATTCTTTATCGCCAGCTGTAAATTAAATTAATTTAAATTAAATTTAACAAAGTTCTTCCTGAAATGGTAGGGGGAAAATAAAACCGTTTGGAAATAATACGCCATAGATAACGCAAAGATGCTTAAAGTGCTTTAAGTTTTTATTGAAAGACGTTTCGTACGCGCCACAACTGTTATATCCGGACTCAGTCAACATTCATATATGTATGTATTTAGTACATTCATTAGCTCATTAGATAAACCTCCATCATTGTAAGGCAGCATGCGCTGCCCTACTGCCACCTAGCCAAGGGTGGAGCCGATATGGTCCTCAGTCAGGAGCCCTGGATCCTCGGAAACAGGGTATGCGGTCTGAGGACTCAAAACTATAAGCTATACGTAGTTGATAACAAAGGTAAAACAAGAACCTGGTTTATTGCAAAAAGAGAGTTGCACTTATTTTGCTCCCAAATTTCAGTAACAAAGAGCATACTGCAGTTAGCCTCGAAGGCCAGAAGACCCCTCCGCACACGACCCTACGTGCCCTTATGGCAGACCTACTTAGGCCTGCATCTCACGGCGAGAATCCCGCCAAATCGACTCTCTGATTCTCAGCATGCCTATCGGAAGGGCAGATTCACTGAAACTAACCAGTTAACACAAGGAAGTATAAGATTCCGATACTGCATCCACCAAATGGGAGCGACGCCGCCGACGAACTAGCCAGGCAAGGCACTACTTTACCTATCCTATCGGAGACAGAGCAAGAAGCGATGCCCTTGGCAACGTGCAGGCTCCACGCACGAAATTTTAGCGCGTAAAGCAGACAGGTGTTGGCAGCAAACCAGCACCTGCAGGATCACACGACCTATATGGCCATGCCGATCGAAAAAAACGCTAGGAAAGGTGTACATTGATTGCAGAAGTTGTCGAGACGAGGAAGAGGAGGAATCGGTCCACCACTTCTTCTGTCACTGCCCGGCTCTGGGTAGCCGCAGACTACGGCTTCTTGGGGCACCTTTCCTCGCGGACATTTCAGACCTGTCCGAGACCAAACCGGGGATTTTGTCCAAGTACATCCAAGCTACAGGATGGGACTGCCCTTAACAAAATTGCGCACCACGGTTTAGGCAGCAGAAGAAGTTTGCGCCCATGCGGCATCACATCGGATCCATAATGGGTCCAAGTGAGCTGGGGTGGGGGGTGTTTCTCTCCCCCCAGCTACCGCCTTCACCTAACCTATCCTAGTCTGAATTGAAACGGCAATATCGTCTCGAGTAGAGTTATCTTTGTGAATGATTAGGATCTGGGGAAACTGTTTTAGAGGCGAACCACTAAAATAAAAGAATCCAACTACCTCTCCAAATAGAAACTGATGATTGGTTATGCTTGTTTGTGTGAATATGTTGATAAAGGGGATCAGCCTTTAAGTATTGTTTTAAATATAAAACGACGCGTGGTATGATGTTAGCAACAATTCTTTCCCCCTAGAGACTGTCGTAAATATGGAAAACTAACTACTACTAAGATACAACACATGAGCGAGTCAAACATACAAACAACTTACAGACATTGATTAATTACAAGTAAATTGCAAGTTAAAAAATGAATAAGAACCTTGTGCAAATTATACATGCATTGAGCAATTCCTTTATCGGGTATTTTATGGTGATCCAGCCAATCCTGTGAAGTATAAAAAAGAAACCGAAACAGAAACGTCCAAAGGAAAATATACAGATATGTAAAAACAATTCAATAAGGCGTGACGGGTGTTAGTTAAACGTGTTCATTTCCACTACTTCTTTACCCGTATTCGTTGCAAAGAAAGACGTAGTAAAAAGTAGAAAAAATAAAGTGCAAACAAAAAGAGAACAAGAAAATAAAAGTGTGTGCATGAACTTTCAACGCAATGACAGGTGCAGCAGCAGCAACATCCACAGCGGAAGAGCAAAAAATTCAAAATCTGAGAGTGTCCATGTGAGTGGTCGTGTGCTGCTGTTGTTTTTGTGAGTGTGAGTGTGTGACTGTGTGAGTGCTCTTAAAAGCGTAATAAATAAGCCCTACTAATGTTAGCGCAAATTAATAAACAGGCAATACAACACACTTGTGCATATACTCGCATACCAATTTTGGCCGCCCCTAACGGGACAGCAACACTCGTGCAAATTGGCCCCAAACAGACAAGCGCAAGGGCCATGAGGCTGGGCGGACAAGTGGGTTCGGTGCGCTTGATCAAAGCGTGCTAAGAAATACCCTTGCAAATGAAGCTTTATGTTTTCGTCAAGTACTGTAAATGGATTTCCATAACCCATACAAATTTGATTACGTAATAATAATATTCCTTAATGATTCTGTAGCTTTTGTGAAGCACTTTAAGTGTATAGCTGTTGATTTTTTGGTGCAGTTATGATAATTTTTGCTTGGATTTTGTCTGATTTAGATGAAGTGAGAAATGGCAAATCAATAGTTAGTTAGCCAAGGGTTCAATCAGAGGGTTATTTTAAGCATGCCATAAGGAATATTCAAATATTTTAAGCATACAACTAGCACTAAACTACGTTAAGTATAATATCGATACGATTCTATAAAAAATTGTGCATGCATATTGCATATGATATGAATACGAGTATGATATTCTTTTATTTGTTTTTAACGGGGTTCTAATTAAGAAGTTCGAAAACTCGAGAATCTTTGAATCATTCTCCAATATTCGTTTTCAGCTTGCTTCGCTGAAGAATAAACTATTTTTAAAATCTGGTAATGTTTAAATAGTTTTAGTCTATATTTTAGAGCGTATAAAACACAATGAAACCTGTAAATCTTTGACCAACTTTGCAAGAGTATTTGAAAGACCAGTCCACACACACACAGCACACACACATAGAATCGATTACAACTTTCTTAAAAACTTAAATTCGCAGCTTACCTGAAAGCGCAACATGAGAAACATCACAGCAAAGACCATACAGAGGCAGCATCCTATAATGGGAAAGCTAACCAAATATCGAAAGGCTCGACGTTGCCAGGCAGGCGACTCTTTGGGCTCCAGACGACCTGTCACATTGTTCTCCTCCAAAGGGCCCTAAGAAATAATAATAAGAACGTCAACGAGTAGGAACGTGGGAGATGCTTCTTACGAGTCTCAACTTTTTTTACCCGCTATTTTTTTGCTTTTTACTGTTTTTTAATACCCGGTACTCGAAGAGTAAACAGGGTATATTGTATTTGTGGGGGAAAGTGGATGTATGAAGAGCAGAAAACGTTTCCGACCCCATAAAGTATTTATATTCTTGATCAGCATCAATAGCCGAGTCGATATAGCCATGTCAGTCTGTCCGTCCGCCCGTCCGTCTATCCGTCTGTCCGTCCGTTGAGCGCCTGGATCTAAGAGACTATAAAAGTTAAAGAGGTAGCCAATGCAAATTAATTTCTTCATTCTGGTTATAATAATAATCCAATCTAATTCCAATTCGGTCTTCTGAGAGATATGGTCTTTACCTACAGACAGACAGGGCTATTGATTGACTCGGCTATTGATGCTGATCAAGATATCTACTTATATTTTATAGGGTCGGAATCGCTTCCTTCTGTGTGTTAAATTTTTTCCCCACAAACACAATATACCCTATTTACTCTTCGAGTATCGGGTATAAAAAACCATCAATCAGTTGAAGAAAACGCACCTTGTAGAGCGGCCTAGGTGGCTCGAGTAGTTCGGGCGGCGTGGATAGAGTACCCCAGCGAAAGGCCAACTCCACAGAGTACCTCTTCCAGGCCTCCAGATACAGTGAAGCCCAGGCCACATTGAACAGCGAGAAGAGCACGTGACCCATGTCCTGTGCTGTTTGACCCTTGCCCCAGAGAATGCAGTAAAGAATTGTGCCAAAAATAGCCGGCACACCCAAGGCGCACGTGTAATGACCCAACCAGGCAAAGTACAGGGCAACCTTCACCCCAAAATAAGCAGCAATGTCGTCTGGAAGAAGGGAAAGTGGAATGTTTTTATTTATTTCAGAAGCATCAACCAGAGGACTCACCCAGAGGCTGTGGTGCAAATATTTGTTTCACCCAGTGAGTCTGAAGTTGTGTCAACGACCTTGGTTCGTGCAGCGGAAAGACCTGTGTAATGAGACCCGACTCCTGCCAGGCGGCCACAATGCTCTGGCCCTCGGCCACTGCTGCGCGTCCATGCAGAGCATCGATGTCACTGCAGCCGGCACGCAGGCCCTGCAGCACCTGCAACACCAGCCACTGACGCTCCTGCGAGGTAAAGAGCGCGGTGCTGGCCACGTCACCTCTCAACTGCTGAAAACAATGGCTCTCGCGGGTGGTAAACTCCCTTAGGGCGCTACCTAGATCCGGACGCAGACGCTTGGGCAGGCGGGCCTCCTCGGCGGCTTTAAAAAGGCTTTGAGAAAGTATTTCAGTTGAAGATTATTTAATATTTTCAAACCCACAAACATTAAAAATGCATAAAATATAAGTAATTAAATTTGCTTTTCTCACGTTGCATAAACTGCAAAAACTAAAGCTCTCACTTTATCTAGTCACCGCTTGGGGCTGCGCCACTTACACATTCACGGGGGCACTGACATAGAAGGCATTCCGTCGCGTGCTCTCATGTGCCTTGACCTGCACCAGGAGACCTAGCCCGGCCGGCGGTTGGGAGCGTATGCGTGCCAGCAGCCAACGCAGTGCCTCGTCAGGGGAATCCTCGGGAAATTCAATGACTACGTCACATTGTGTTGGGATTTTATTCAGCCAGAGCCGACGCGGCGTCATCAAATGACCAGCGTAGGGAACTTTGCGGCGAATATGGCGGGAAGCTGCAAGAGCCAGAAAAAGGAAACCATTCAAATAAGAATTTGGCTCAATCGACTCGGCTATTGATGTTGATCAAGAATATATATACTTTATGGGGTCGGAAACGTTTACTTCTGTGCGTTACATACAACCGTTATTCTCACAAATACAATATACCCTATTTACTCTTCGAGTACCGGGTATAAAACAAAATATCACCAAGCCGTTTCTAAACGCCATATCTTTCAGAAAAATTTAGTTTTGTTCGAAGCGGAAAAATCCTGTCATGTAGTGTTATTAAAGGATATAAATATAACTATTCTCGCTTACAATTTGATTACAGCTATTATTCACCCATAATCCTCTGCTGCATAATTTTTTTTAGATCCGAGTATTATTGATTCTAATTTCAAGTATTAAAAAAGAATCGCTTTTTAATGTTGTCTAAATAAAAACGAATTTCCAATATAGCTTATGAAATAGCTCACACTCGGCCAAAATAAATTTCCAAAAAGTCTCATAACTCCGCAAAGGCTCTCATCGATCTATTTCTTATTTTAACGATGAAAATTTAATGTTTAATGAAAGTAAGGGGGCTCCTCCATTAAAAACAGTTTATGGATGGCTCCATTGATGGCTGGTGGCATCTAAAACCACTTAAGTATTTGCAGAGCATGTAAATCACATAATGGCAAGTTTATCCAGCATCCGATAGATAAAAATGATCTGTTGCATGGCACATGATTTATATCTGTCTGTCTGTCCGTCCGTCCGTTCGTCCGTCCTTCTTGATTGTCGACTAGTTATCAGAGACTATAAAAGCTAAAGCCATAAAATTTTGTCTCCAGACTGCTGTATGCTCACACTGATACAAGTGTATTTTAAAAATTAGCCCCGGCCCCTTGCACCCTAACAAAGAGCGAAAATCTTACACGGCCACAACTTCAAGAATAAGAGAAATCTGATAACGTCATTCCCTAGGGAACGACCATATCTATTAGATCACCGAATCGGAATCAGATTGGATCATTATTATAGCCAGAATGAAGAAATTAAATTTCAGTGGCTAAACCCACCCCATCCAGCAGCTTTTTTGTTTTTTACAAATTCTCTCATTTTACACTCTGTTTCGCGCTCTAGGGGCTCTGTGCAGCTCTAGGGGAGGGGGGCGAGCTAAAAGAGCGTGTTGGCGTGAGAAGTTATGTAGATGTAGATGACATATGTAGAAAAAATGTAAAATTTACTGAGTCTTACTGAGTACCGTTAAGAAGCGTCTCACACGTACCTTTTCGTTGGGACGTTTCCAACCCATGGGTAGGATAAACCAACACACATAAGATGGGGGATCCCAAAGGTTTGTCTTTTTTTTCCTCACAAATTTCTCATTAAATTGTGACAAAAGAATGCAACACCGACCCTCGAGCCCTTCTCTGAATAATTGGGAAACCATTGGGGATTAAATAATGAAGCTCCAAATCAATAAAGGAGTAGGACAACAGGACACTTTATAGCTGGTGTAGAATAGCTGACATCTGCCAATGAAGGTTAGGAGCATGTCTAGATTAAGCTAAATTGCTTGTGAGATTGCAGTAGCAGATATTAAAGATTAGTATGTACTAGATATACGGACATTGTATGCACTTAAGTATTACGTGATATGGTTAAAATAAAATGGAATATGTTAACCTTGAAAATGGTATGGGAAATGTCTTAATCTAATATCAGCAATGAATAAAATTGAGACTTTGAATAAATTGTGAAAAATATAATTAAATCAGGACATCAGGAACAGAGCGCAGAGAATAATCATCAGAGACCTACATCAACATGGAACTACACACAATTCACTATACAGTCGGCACATGCTTTAGAGAAACATTCAGCTGTTAAATCAGCAGTGGGAGTCCCCCAGGGTATGACCGAGAGCTGTGCTCTGAATTGTTAATGACATCAGATTGTGGCTCGCTTCTGCGCCAAAACCAAACGCAGAAGAAACCCAGAACTAAACCCCAACCCGTTTACCGGAACCGAATCCGACCTCCAGCAGTTTGTTGCATTAGAAGGCGGAGATAGAGCTGTGAAGGCATCAATTTAATCAACAGCTACCGAGTCTTGAGCTTCATGTGATTGGTGCAGCTTAGAGCCATTCATCCATCCATCTATCCATCCTTCTACCCACCCATGTCTGGTAGTTGTTCCTCCCTACAAAATTCAGTTAAAACAGTTTATATTTTAATTAACCTTGATAATGATGATGGGCTAGAGCAACAGAACAGGAATGACTAGAGGTCCTCATTAGCAAACGTTCAGCCCTCTACACGCTTCAGCACAGTGAATGCTTGAAAGAGCTTGCTGGCGGGAGAAGTGATGTAGATGTAGATGACAGATGTAAAAAACTGCAAAATTTAAAATTAGAAGAAAAAAAACAGCGAAGAAACATACGGATCACACTAAGGTTACATACGTATGTACATATATGCTGACTAAGTACCGGGTATAAAAGTAGTGACGCGTATGAAGCGTCTCACACGTCCCCCTCGCTTTGTTTATTTTCACTAGTGTGCACTCTGACAAATTGATGTCCCTCTTTAAGGGTTAAGAAGAGAGTTACATCCCTATAGTCCCAATGAAAACTGTTGTTGTCCTAAATTAATAACTCGCCAAGGAATCAAGTTTTTGCATTTAGTCTTTTGATATTAGTTAAAACAAGTAAGATGAAGGTTTTTTGAAAAAATGGGCCTGGCACCCATTCGGAAAATCGGTTCTAAATATTTTTTCTCAAAATGTTAGAATCAAAAAAAGGATGGGAATATGTTTAGCAGTACAAGATTCTATAAAAAAAAGTCGTAGCACCAATTGAAACAGCTTAAAAATCCAAGATAATCGAATTTTTTCTCCCACAAGGCATTCTCTATAGGAGTTTCCATTATATAACAATATAGCACTGGATATCAAACTCTAGCCCTCCAAAATAGCTAGACTGATTATGACACCGAATTTACGTTACGTTTTACCGTGGGATGAAGTGTTAAAATAAGGAGTAACACAAGGTTTGCCGTTTTTTTGTAACTATAATTAGTAAACTACAATACTAGATATTTACGTTTAACAATCTCAACACCAGTTTACACCGTTAAGACTGATATATGTAAAATTGTTAGTAAATAATGAGATGCTGACACATTAGGTTTCAAGGTGGAACTCGGTGGCACTCTATTAAAAAACCAAAAAGTTTTTAATCAACAGTGATGCTTGACTGTGTATAACTTTCTGATAGAAATTGTATGTTAATGTTTCTGTAGCGGTTGATGATCTATGGTCTATGTAATGTTTTGTCCATCATACTTATTTTATTTAGGTTTTTTAACCTAGTCAATTAGCATAAAAAGTTAAATACTCTATACATTTTGTCGTTATTTTAACCAACTTTATTACAACACATGCTTTGCAAAAATGACCGCTGGGTTTCACAGCACATTTTACGAAGATGGCGACAGCTATGAAAATTTCTGGTACCAGCTTTGATGCTTTTTTCTAATACAGAGCTCCAAAAGCGCGTATTGGTTTTAACTTTTAAAAATGATTTCTTGGCAAAAAAAAGTGGTCATTGGGACCATAGTGCTACGGTTTGGTAAACCCGCAGCTTATTTTTGTTTTTTTTTCACATTCTCTCATTCACACTCTGCTTCTGCAGTGTGCGGACTCTGCCTCTGCCTCGAGTCTGCAGTGTGTGGGTCTAGGGAAGGGGGGCGAGCTAAAGGAGCGTGTTGGTGGGAGAAGTGTTGTAGATGTAGATGACAGATGAGAGCAAAATGTAAAATTTGACAAAACACCCCTAAGGTTCAGATGTAGTACTGAGTGCCGGGTATTAAGCTATAAAGCTTGTATAACTGAAAAATAAAACCACTCAAAGTGTCAAAATGCCCCGAAAGTGCAGAAAAATACGAAGGGGAGCACTTACTGAGCAAAGGGAACCTTATATAACCGACCTTATTGATTGGATCATCCAATCTGATCCCAATTCGGTGATCTGCAGTATGCCCTATTTACTCTTCGATTACCGGGTATAAATATACTTTAAATAAATCCTCTTAAACGATGCACATATACTTATTGAAGCTTCACAGCTAGCGTGTAACTATCAGTTTTTTTCCATTGAATAAACATTATGACTTTTGATGGCTGTGACAGCGATTTTCCGCTTCCTTTGCCATCCAACCCACACCACAACACACCTTCCCTTTACCACTTCTCCCATCGAGTGCACCCACTATGCCATAAACGGAAATTGATTGCCTGCTGATATAAATTAAACGAGGAGGAACGTTTGAGATGCTTCGTAAGTTTCATAACTTTTATTCCCGGTACTTAATCGGCATACATAACATGATTCTTTCGAATTTTACATTATACATTTGTTCTACATCTTCATCTACNTTTTCAAAAATTAGTTGTCACTACGAACTGACACATATTGAAAGACTATCTTTAACATACAATTACAAAGACATCGCCAACTACTAGATACCAGATACATTACAAAACAGGTAGTATGAATAAAATAAATCCAAAAAATTGGATCAGTTAATCGTATTTTTCAATTTATGAGATATGTAAAACAGCAATAAAATTGGTTGGGAATATGTTGGATGGGAATATGTTTAGCAGTACAAGATTCTATAAAAAAAAGTCGTAGCACCAATTGAAACAGCTTAAAAATCCAAGATAATCGAATTTTTTCTCCCACAAGGCATTCTCTATAGGAGTTTCCATTATATAACAATATAGCACTGGATATCAAACTCTAGCCCTCCAAAATAGCTACTGACTAATACTGTGGCTTAAATGCAATGCAAAATGGCACCCTACTTCACAATTTTATTCCTCATTGTGTTCCAAACGGCAAAAAAACATTGATATTAATCATTTGATGTTATGATCTATAAATGCAAATTGTTAGAGTTGTGGTCAAATGTGGCAATTCTGACTATATACATTTTAACAATCATTTATTACTCTACGA